CCCCTCCCTTTCTTTCTCCAGCCCTGGGAGCCTTGAGAGGCAGATAGCCCGTTTCAGCTCCGCTCCGGAGCCAGTAAATCCAGGCGGCCACTTTGGGCTCTCAGCCTCCCTCCCAGCGAGGAGCAGGGGAAGTGAGCCTGGCAGGGGGTGTTCCCACAGCCCCGGGCTCAGCCTCCCCTCGGGGCGCAGCCTGGGCCCGGAGCCCGCCTGGAAGAGGCCTGGCCCTGAGTAGGCCTGGCCCTGAGCCGCTGGGAGGCCCCGAGGGTGCCAGGCCGCGTGCCGGCAGGGGTTTCCCGCCACTGAGGCGGGCGCTGGCCTCGATGGCCTTGATGTGTGGCCTTTGCAGGCCCTTCTGGAAACAGACCGGCCTGTGGGGGTTGCCCTGGCCACACCCATTCTCATCACCACTGGGTCTCCCTTTGTTTCGGCGATGGGATCTTGCTTAGTCGCCCAGTCTGGATTGCAGTGGCGCTGTCGTAGTGCACCGCCACCTCGACCTCCTGGGCTCAAGCGGTCCTCCTGCCTCAGCCTCCACCGTGCCGGCCTAAGATTTTTTGTAGAGACAGGTTCTCACTCTGTTTCCCTGGCTGGCCTCCAACTCCTGGGCTCAAGCCTCTTACCTCAACTTCCCAGAGTGCAGGGACTACAGGTGCGAGCCGCCGTGCCGGGCCCAGTTCATCAAGTGGGCAAGCGGTCTTGCACGCAGCAGCAGGGAGCCACTCTCTCTGGCCTGTGAGACGGCGCTGCAGTTCCACAGGCCAGAGAGAGAGGCTGCGTCACTGGTGGCCGGCCCCCTCGTGGGTGAGGCGCTCCTCCGGCTAGGGAAGAGCCCACAGAGGCTGCGGCCCGCTGCCTGGCAACCCCTTCTCCGGCCTCTCCGAGCACGGGGCAGCGGCAGCCCACACAGGCCTTCCCCAGCCTCCCCCTCTGGCCTCAGGGAGAAGACGGACGACACTTCCGGGGAGGACAACGACGAGAGGGAGGCTGTGGCCTCCAAAGGCCGCAAGACCGCCAACAGCCAGGGGAGGCGCAAAGGCCGCATCACCCGCTCCATGGCCAACGAGGTCAACGTCGAGGAGGCCGCCACCCCCCAGCAGAGCGCCGAGCTGGGTGAGCTGGCCGTGGCGTGGATAGGTGGGGACGGGGCGGTGTCCCCTGCGGGTGGCTGTGAGAGCTGGTGTTCACGGCAGCAGCCGAGGTGCTGGGCGTCGGATCCCGGCGTGAGCTGTGACTGCGCTGGGTGACCCACGGGGACTTCCTCAACCTCTCTGTGCTTCTGTGTCCTCGTCTGCCCAGTGGGAAAAACCCATGGTTTCTTGGAGCTGTGGGGGGAGCCTAGGACAGTGCCTGGGGTGTGGCCCGCATTCACTGGCTTCGTGACCCAGAGCTGTGGGAGGTCACGTGCCGGTGGACACCACAGTCCCAGCTGCTGGCTGCTTTTGGTTCGAAGGTCAGGCCATGCTGGGCGGCGTTTCCAGGAGGTAGCGGCAGCTGGGGGCTGAGTAGCCACCCCTGCACCCCTTTAAGGAGGATGTGGGCTCTCCCTGCCCCCACCCTGCCTCTGGCCTTGGTTGTATCTTCACGACTGTGGGCCTCAGTTCCCCCCCCCGCTCCGAGGACTGCTCCTCACGGGGCTCCCAGAAGGTGGGAAGGATGAGTTGAGTCGCAGTTCCTAAGTCGGGCGACGGGGCAGCCATATGCCTGCCCTGCCTCCTCGACCGTTTGGGCCGGTGCCAGGACCCTGAGGGCTTGGCCCGGGGCCCATCATGGGCTCCTCCCAGGGCATCCCCCACCCCCGGGAGGCTGCTTGGACCCATTTCCTAGACGGGCTGCTTGAGGCTCAGAGAGGGGAGGAGGCCTCACTCACACCACAGGGAGGCTGGGATTTGAGCCAGCCTCTTGGCCACAGACCCCGTGCGGTTCCCATAGGTGCGTGGCAGCTGCCCTCGGTGGCAACGTGTTGGGCTCCAGGGCAGAAGGGCTCTCCTCAGGTCGTGCTGTGAAGCCGGGTCTCTGGGGCGGGGCCTCGCGGCCGATGCTGGGGACCCATGGCGGGCAGAAAACACGCTCGCGGACTTCCTGGCCCTGCAGCCCCAGCTGAGTCTCCACAGCCTCCCTCTCGGGGTCCCGGGGAGGAAGGGGTGCGTCAGCGTGATCCCGCAGGACCCAGGCCTGGCAGCAGGGATGGGGGCTGGGCAGCTCTCGCCGTCGGGGACGGGCGGCCTGTGGAGGGGAGACCCTCTCCCTCTCCTGCCGGAACCTTCCTCCATGCGCGGCTGGCCTGGCCAGCACCTGCTCGTGCCTGGCACTGTCCGGGCCCTGAGTCTGTGAGGCTGACCCCTCACGCCTGCCCCCTCGTGGAGCTCGAGCAGCCTGAAAGGAGCGCCCAGGGCCTAAGGCCAGGGCGCTTGGAGGTGGTGTGGCCTCCTCCCTGGCCCAGGACCTGGTGGTGTCTCAAGAGGACCCTCCTCGCGCCGGGTGCAAGGGCGACACAGTGATGACCCAGCCCAGGCATCTCTTCCGGGGCTTTTAGCCTTCGGGGCACCTGGCGGTGTCTGCAGACTTTTTTTCTTTTGAGCTGGGGACTCCCTCTGTCGCACGATTACGCCACTGCAACCTTGACCTCTTGAGCTCAGGCTGTTCTCCGCCTCAGCCTCAGCCTCCCGAGTAGCCGGGACTGTGGGCACCACCACCACCATGCCTGGCTAATTTTTTTGGCTTGTTGTAAAGGCAAGGTCTCACTATGTGGCCCAGGCTGGTCTCGAACTCCTGGGCTCAAACGATCCTCCCACCTCAGCCTCCCCAGGTGCTGGGGTGACAGGTGTGAACTGCGCCTGGCTGCAGACATTTTTGAGGGTGGCAGCTGGGGTGGGGACCCCAGAGGGCAGAGGCCAGGTGCTGCCCCGTGTCCTGCCTCGCATTCCACACCCCACAGCGGAGGGTGATCTGGGCTCCCAGGGGGCCCCTGGCCTCGTGAGGTCCCAGAGCCCCTGGCCCGTGCCCCTCATCCTTGCTCTGTCTCCATCACCGCCTCATCAACTGGGCCACCCCCTTCCCAGCAAAGTGCACGCAGAGGTCGTCGTCCTAGTCAAAGCCCTTGGCTGGCCTCGCTTGCCCCGTTTGGCAGGAGGGGTGATGGCAGGCCCCGGCCTCGGGGGGCCGTGTGGGCGGTGAAGGGTGTGCGAGCCCCCCTTCTGTGGGTGCAGCCCCGAGTGGCCCCGATGTCCCGCCGGCCCCTAGTCCTGTCCCACCCCCGCCTGCCCACCAACCCAGTGTCTTCCTTCCAGCCTCTATGGAGCTGAATGAGAGTTCCCGCTGGACTGAGGAGGAGATGGAGACGGCCAAGAAAGGTGAGGCGGCCAGGCTGGCTTCTGGTGGCCTGCGGCTGGTGGGTGGTGCCGGTGATACGCTGGCCCCGAGCCACGGCGGGGCGAGGTCTGGGGGGCAAGGCTGTGCTCCCAGGTGTTCCTGGGTTGGTTCTGGGGGCCTCGGTTTTACCTGCCGGAAAATGGGCTGTGCAGGCGGCGGGGGGGGCGCTGGTGCGTCTGTGCGATGTTGGGTGCAGCGTGGAGATGCATACTCCCTCTGCGCGTGCCGTCGGTGAGTGGCTTTGGTGGCCCCGGGGGCCAGGCGCTCGGCCCTGTGACGGATCAGTGGCCTGTTAGGGTGCCTTGGGGGGGTGGGCGTATGCCGGCTGCCACCTGGGGTCTCTGACGCTGGGTTCTCACGTGGGTCCAGCTCCCCTAGGAGCCCAAAGGCCGTCCTCCTGGGCACCTGCGTGGGTTCTGGAAAGCGTCTCTGCTTTGAGCCTCCCAGTCTGGGTGCAGGTCCGAGTGGACGGGATGCGTGGGCTGTCAGGACACGTGTGGTGTGTGGGATGGGGGCGTGGCAGGCAGCAGGAGCCATCCTGCCTGGGGGCCCGGCAGCTCCAAGCCTGAGCCCTCCTGCTGTGGCTGCGGGCATGGTGCCGTCCTGCCATCTTCCTGCATGCGGGTGTGTCCTCAGAGCCCGGACAGCCCAGTCCCTGCCTCCCAGCTCGCTGGCCTGTCCCTGGGTCTCAGCCGGCCCGTCTGGAGAGAGGGCGGGTGCCCAGGTTGGCAGCGAGGAGCCGGAACAGGCTTGAGGGCCCACGGACGGGCCGAGTGGGTGTTGGTCTCCTGCCTGACCAGCGCTCAGAGTCGGCTGAGATGGCGGGGCCCTGGCACCCGGATACGTGGGGCCCGTCCCTGTCCCTATGTGTGGACAAGGACCCGGGCTAGAGCTGATGTCCGGGCCTGGGCGGGAGTCCACATAGCCCCACAGAGCTGAGGCCGGTCCGGGGCCTGTGGTCTCCACTTCGCGGCTGGGGAGGGAGCATGCAGCCTTTATTGCGGGGACGGGGCACATGGGGCGAGTGTGTCAGGACCTTGGGCCGGCAGGGCCCTACCCCGCCTCCACCCTGGGGGCGGCTGCTGGGACCCTCCCAGCGTTGGGTCAGGTGCTGCCAGGGCAGCTGAGGACCCCAGCAGGTCCCGCGGCCCCTGCCCTTGCCCTGGGACCCTTGCCCCCTTTGGGGCCCTTCAGGGGCTCCCAGCGTCCCCAGCCCCAGCCCCGCTTTCTCTGCGCGGCCAGGCCTGAATGGGCCCGGAGGATGGACCCGGAGGACAGACCTGAGGAAACCCAGGCCGCTCAGGAAGGGTGGGGCCGCCTGCTTCCGGAGTGGGGCCATTGGGCTGGTCGTCATCTCTGGCTGGGAGACATGGGTGCCGGCAGTGCACGGTGTATGCTGTGTGGTTGTCTCCTTGCCCTTCGTGTCTGCGCGTGGTTTCTGGTGTGGATTTCACCGCAGGCCGCAAAGCAGCTTTTTCAGATCATCCTGTTTCCCCTTCTGCTATGTTTTGGTATGGTATGCACGCCGTGAGGGTGCCATGTAACCATGCCAGGCGCTCCTGCTCTGTGGCAGCCCTGACGTCCGTCCACAGGGCTGTCTGTGTACCTCACGCTGGCACGCTCCAGCACCCCGTCCCCCGTGGACACCCGCACCCATTATAACCCTGTCCAGCCCCACCCCAGCTGCTCATGCCCCTTCTGTCCCTGTGGGGCTGCCCAGATGCTTCCTGGGAGTGGGTTCCTGTCTCTGGTGGCCTCCATGTCCGGCTTCCTCCCCGGGCAGCTTGTTTTCCTAGGCCAGCCACACAGCTGAACGATGCCCGGCCACCTGCGGAAACTGTGTTTGGTCACCTATGTTTCGTTTTGTTTTGGTTTTTGGAGTCGAGGTCTCACTCTGACACCCAGGCTGGAGTGCTGTGGCACACTCAGGCCACCACAGCCTCAGCCTGCTGGGCTCAGGTGATCCTTCCGCCTCAGCCTCCAGAGTAGATGGGACTGGGACCACAGACACGCATCCCTCACGCTTGGCTAATGTTTTGGTTTTCTGTAGACACCAGGTCTTGCCGTGTTTCCCAGGCTGGTCTTGAACTCCTGGGGTCAAACAGTCCTCCCGCCTCAGCCTTCCAGAATGTGGGGGTGACCGGCGTGAGCTGCTGCGCCCAACCTTCCCGTTTGCTTGCTGATGGACACGCGTCTTGTTTCTGTGTTTGGCTGTTGTGAATTGCAAACCCGAGATCACACAGGGAACTCCGTGTGACGTCTGGAACGGCCACCGGGCTCCTTGGCTCCCCGTCTCCCTCCTGCGGCCCCCTCCCCCTGCAGCTGTCCTGGTACCCTCCCTGCCGCCGGTACCCGCGGCCAGCCCTGCCCTCTCTCCCGCCGCAAGGGCCGGGGTGGAGGGCACCGCGCATGAGTCGCCGGCAGGAGGCGTGCCTGCCCTGCCGTCTCAAGGTTGGTCCTCAGCTGGCGGTGAGCTCATCCCAGTGCCGCCCACGGGGATGGTGGCGGGAGGGTCTTCCGGGGGTGTGCGCGCCAAGGCCCTGCTTGGTGACATTTGCGGCAGTGTTGCGCACCCTGCGTCTGCAGTGAATTACAGCAATCTGGACAATTGCCGTGCAGGGTGGCTGCCGCTGCTGTGCACTCTGGGCGGGGGCGAGGAGCAGGTGCAGCAGCCCCCAGCCTCTCCTCCGGAGCAGGTGGGGGTGGGAAAGCCTAGGATGTTCCAGAGGCCCCTGCCAGCCCTCACAAGCCCACACTCAGCCAGGGATGCGAGGGCCAGCCAGACCTGAGGCAGGTGGCCCCCACCAACGCTGACCTGTCGCTTCGGGGCATGGGCCCCCCGGGTGGGCCCGCCCCGCCCTCCCCGCCCTCCCCGTGAGTGCTTGCCGAGCCCGCCTGGAGCGTCCAGGAAGCTTTCGTGTAGCCCGGACCCAAGCGGCAGTACCCCAGCCCCAGGGAGAAACCTGGTCCGGGTCAGTCAGCCCACCCGTCTGGGCCTCCCTGTCTTGGCCCACACAGTGGGAAGGGGAGTGGGCCCACGGGGTGACCCTCCCAGAGGGCCCCAGTCCGGCAGCCCGAAGCACCGGGCTTCTCCTCCCCCAATCAGGAGTCTGGAGGCCACGCTCGAGGTGGGGGCAGAGCCAGGCTCCCTCCAAGCTGCGGCGGGGCCTTCCTCGCCGCTCTGGCCCCAGCCCCCGGGCACCCCTGGCGTGCGGCTCCCCACTCTCGGCTCTGCCTGTTTCTCCCACCCCCGCCCCAGTCCCGGGCTGACGAGGACCCGCCTGGTCCGCCTGACCCACTCCGACTGCCTGCCTCCTTCACAGCTGAAAAGCCCCTTCCCCAGGAACGCTGCGCTTGCGACTCTGGGGGCCAGGACTCTGCCCCGGGGAGGTGGTGCCGGTGAGCAGGTGGGCCTGGCGTTGCCACTCGCAGCTGCGGCTCCCCAGCCCCTGGCCCCGGCCGTGCAGCCTTGGATTCCCTCACGCTCTAGGTGAGGCTGGGATCTCTCTCCCAGGGCAGCCGAGCAGAACGAGCCGGGTGTGCAGTCCTCAGGACACAGTGGACGCTCGGGTGTGGCGGCCTGCAGGGCCCACGGGGGCTGGGGCGGAGTGCGCAGGCTACTCTGAAGCGCAGAGTGACAGGGAGGAGGCCCCGGATGACCCCCAGAAGCGTGAAGTAGTGCCGGTGGCGCCAGGTGAGGCCGCCAGGCGCTCCCGGATGCTGGGAATGGCCCCTGCCTCCCGCGTGGGAAGTCGCGACGTCTGCACCACCTGATGAGGCGTGTGCTGTGAAGAGCTCCCTTTTTCACGGGAGGAAGCTGGCCCAGAGAGGCTGAGCGACCTGCCCAGGGCCACATAGCCATGAACTGGCGGGGCTGGGGGCTGGAGAGAAGTGGGGAGGGAGGCGCCTGGGCCTGCCGGCGCGTGTGGGAGTTTGGCTGTTACTCCATGGGTCTGGGAGTGACACGGTGGGGGGGTGGGCAGGGATGTGAGGGCCACGTGGTCTGGGCAGGCAGGTGAGCGCCTTTTCTTCCTGAGCGCTCGGGGTCGTGGCCACCCGCCCTGGGCTCCCGATGCTGGGATCTGGGCTTGGGCAGGAGGCGGCCACCCTGGGAGTGGGGCGGCCTCAGGATCTGGCCGCCCGCCCTGGCCTGGCATCCTTGCCGGGGGAGGGGCCGGGCCAGGGACTCCAGTTCCCCTGGGAAAGGTCAGCCCGCCTGGCCTGGACATTGACCCAGCCGTGCGAGAGGCCAGGCCTGGCCCTGGCGGGTAGAGGACCTGCCATGGCGGGGGCAGGAGGAAGCCCAGGCCACCCTTGCCCCGTCCTGGCTGGGGAGAGGCTCTGACTGCCTGCCCGGTCCGGCCCGCCTGGCTCGCCCGGCCCACGGCAGCCTTCCTGGCGAGCAGAGGGTGGAGGGGAGCGGCTCCGGGTGGCTCCAGGCAGACCCCAGAGGTCCTCCCCCACCACCCCGAGTTCCCAGCCAGCCTTGCCTGGTGGCCTCTCCCGTCACGGGGAGGAGGGAGGAGCCGCGGGTTGCTGCCCACATGGGCTGGCCCAGTTGGCTTTTGCGGACAGAGAGGCTAAGATGGGGGAGCAGGGGGAAGCCCTGGCCCTGGGGCTCGGAGGTGGCCCGCCTTCCCATGCATTCCTTCCCAGTGGAGAGGGTCCATGCGCTTGGCCTGGACAGCGGTGCCAAACCCGCCGGGCTCACAACGGGGCAGCATGGCCCGGGGTCAGTGCCACCATGCCTGGACTCGGGTCTGCCGGCCACTCCCTGGGGCAGGTGCCAGCCAGGCCCAGCGGGAGGCAGGGCCTTACTCGGAGTGGGTCACTGAGGACAGCAGACGTCTGCGGGCGGGAACCTTGCGTCTGAGGGGCTGTCACGGCCGGGGGCTGGCAGGGCCTGCGATGGAGGACACGTATTGGGCTCATTGGGAGGAGGAAGTCAGGGTTCCTGCACGGAACGGAGGTTTGGCCAGAC